CAACACTGTTGTGTAACTTCAGTTAAATACTTGTATGTGTGTAGATTAGAAAGAGGTAAGATAAAGGATCTGCAGTATTTTATGAAGTATTAATCGTACAAAGCTCAGTTTTATACAAGTAGAAGTGTGTATTTACCCGGTAGTAGGCTGTCAGTAATGGCTATACGACTCTCTATTTGGACTGGTAGATCTCGGCAGACTGGCAACTTTAAAAGTAGCTCTCGGTTCAAAAAAGGTTGGGCACCCCTAACTTAGACCCATAAGGCGCGTTCACACCGCAGTACTTTTCCCACTTTAGTTCCGATATAGTTCCGAAATGTCGCGTTCACACCAAAAAGAGCCGGAACTAAAATGAGTTCATCAGAAACTTTTTTACCCCCCCTATACCTCATTCACACCAACGCAACTCCGGTTCAAGCTCCGTGCTAGAGCTTTTCAGGTTCAGAACCGGTTCTTCGGTTTAGCTCCGGCTCTTTTCACACTGCCCAGAGTCCGACTGGTGCTGCGTCATTGCGTCATTGTTTGCGTCATGACGTAACCGTTTCCGTTCCTGCTTCATAAAGCCAAACCAAACCCCTCACAGCTGACACCGACAACAACAACACTGGCTGATTGTGCTCCAGCTTCCTCTGTACCTCTTCGGAAGACCAGATTCCCAGTAGGTAGCTGGTCTCTTCAGTGGACCACTGCTGCTTGTTAAGTTTCTCCATCGTTGTGTACAAACTGGATAAAAAGCAGGCTTTTTGTTGTTGTTCAGGAGTTGATCTGCCCCCGCCCCCGTCTCGACGTAAGCGTGACGTATGCGGTGCTTTTGCTCTAGCCGGACAATTTTTTGGTGCTTGAAACAAACCGGATTCCGGAGCTAAGAGGCTGCTCCGCTGCGGTGTGAAGAGGAAAACCCGGTGCTTTTCAAGCTCCAGCTCCGAACCGGCCCTGAAACACCGTTGGTGTGAATGAGGTACTAGAGAGCAGGGACTTTCATGGGAGAAAAAGGTTCCTATGTCTGATTGACTGGGCGGATTGCAAACCACGCCCCGTAAAACTCCCAAAAAGTTTTGTGAAGCCGCCATTTTATAATCCTCGCATTAGCATTATTAGCATTAGCCCAGCGCACAAACGCAGAGAGACTAATTTATGGCAACACAAAAGAAAACATGGGAGCGGGGAGACAATCTCTGTCTGCTGTGATATACAGCACCAGTCTGGTTATGTAAAAATGTTGTACTAATCATAATCTCAAAATTCAATCAAATAATTCACTATCTTTTGCTGTTTTATAAATCTAATAAAGTTTGATATTTTTATGTACAATTTCATAATTAAATCATTAAAAGTGTTTTTTTCATGCCACTAAAAACACCTTGATTTGCAAGTTCTATTTTTGACTTTAAAGCAAGACATTTACATGGCTTTATCATATATTATTAAATTACTTGGAATACCATGACACAGCCAGAAATAGCATAGATTTATTGGTCGATTCATTTATCCGTTTGTTTGCTCTAATTTCCATAATATTCAATATTTGGCTCATTACATTGCAAACCTGCTTACTGTTGATTAGACTGTTTGTGCATCGTGAAATCATCATCATCATCATCATCATCAGCACCTCCGTGCAGCTGGAGTTGTTGTGCTAATCATACCTCTATCCTCTTTTGTTCTCAGGTAGCCAAAGTAACACACACAGAGTTCTGCCAGGGCCGGACGATGCGATGGGCGCTGGCCTGGAGCTTTTATGATGATGTGATTGTTCCGGTAAGTCTGAGCAGATTTTATTTCTCTGTGTGCTCTTGAAGGACTCGAGCCTCATTGCAAAATCTAGACTCAACATAATGTTTTGTGTCACTTTGGGCGGATACAGTTATCATACCAAGAAATAGGGAGCAGCTGAAATTGCCTCTTGTGTCTTTTCTTTTTGATAAAAACGAGAGAATTAGGTGAAGGAAGGATGTTAAGGAGAAATCATGCTAAAAAAAACTGGTGCTTGGAGGATCTGACTGTAGTTACACTAGGTTACATATTTTTAGTAAAGCAACTTTTTAAAAAGACGAAAATATGATCTTCCTATATTTATATTTAAGTGAGTAAATAACTCAATGTTGATCAATGGATGTAAAGATTCCTGTACATCACACCTCCAAAAAGGATGTTTACAATTTATCCAGTGCACAGTTGAACAGCAATGTCAGATGTTATTGAAGGTGAAATGTGACGTTCAGGGAACTGTGGGAGGACATTGTGTCCTTTCCCTTGGTAACGTATTGTCCTGTGTGTCCTATCCCATAGGAGATAAGAAAGGAAGCATTTAATCTCCCTTCCTGAGCATTTAGAGAATTCGACTAGCTCTTATCATGGCTGCTCTTTCCGATCACTCTTCTCAGTCAGGAACTTTCCTAAGCTAAAAACCACAAATGACTTGCATATGGTTTGTCAAATGTTCATGTTGGTAATGTTTTAGTCATTTTGTTTCTTGAACTGGATATTTCCAAAACCCCAAAGCCGCCTCCCCAATTCTCCACCACCTCCATCCTCCCGCCCTCCAGCTCCCATCCATTAGTAGTACTTACTCCTTCCTCCTCCTCTGGGGAGACCTTTATGTGATTTTAACATGCTGTATCCAGGCAACAGTTGCCAGGGCAGGACTGTGTGCGTGTTTCATTGTTTTGTCTGGACAGTGAGAGAGTTGGAGATGAATAAAAACCAGGGGCAGTAAAGTAGCCACACTGGCTAAATCACTAATAATGAACTTGGTGTGACGACAGATGAAGATGAAGGAAGGTGGAGGCGCTCAGCTCTCTGTCACAGAGACGGGGTTGTTTTCTTCTTTTCGACTCCTCTCTGTTTTGGCCTTTCAGCATAAAAGCAGTTGAGCAGAATGATTGGCCTACATTACTTCCTCCTCCTCCTCCTTAAAGCACATCCACTGTCATTTACACCCGAGAGTGGCCAGCATCATCTGTGTGTGTGTGTGTGTGTGTGTGTGTGTGTGTGTGTGTGTGTGTGTGTGTGTGTGTGTGTGTGTACATACATGACAGACGTTCGGCATGTGTAATTCCTTGCATGGTTGACTACCCTAAACCCTGCATGCGTGTGTTCCTATAGACGGCTGGTATATATGTAGGTGCATGGGGGTGCTCATTAATATTACATATAGACTTCAACATATGGGACATGCATGCAGACGTGACCTACTTTAGGCTCTTATTACCAGGTCAGGCAGCAAACTATTATCACCACAATGACTTTATATCCATCTTCTCTCCCTCCCTGTTGTCTTTGTTTGTTTTAACTTGAATCAAACACACGGGTTACAAGTAGCCTTCTACAGGTGACGCTTCAAGTGAAACTCTGCCAAAATAACTATCAGTTACTTGAAATTTGCACCAAGGAAGTCGTTTTCAAAACAGTCCTTTACCAATCAAAGTGTGTTAACAAGTCTTGGGATGTACCACTGCATATAGAGTTTTTTTAAGCCGTTTGTGGCTCCAGGGACTGTGTGAAGCCTGAAGTGCGCCAGTTAGCACTTTAGACTAGAGTTGTGTGAAATGTTAACATTTGCAGTAAAATAGATTTCCGTCTTGATTCAGACTAGGGAGCCTCCAGGTTTCTATTATTGTCTCATTGCCATCATCAAATATTTGGAGGTATAAGTTTGAAAGTGATGATACCTTACCTCTGTAGCCTGCTGAAGGCTGCATTAGCCACTACTAGCATAACATACAAAGTCTGAACTGTCAGTGGTACCGATGCATTTTGGGTAATAATATAATAGTGTTTTTATTTAAACATGTATTAAAACAAGTTCCTTGACAGTGAGTCTCACACAACATGGAACACATGACATATAAAACTGTTGTGTCCATTGTGAGTTTGACACTATTAAAGGACTTCAATGCTGAATCTATGTAATACTCTTCAATCAGTATCCCACTGTCTCTTTTTGTATAGCCTCCCCAGTATTTTGTCCAAGAAGACATTAAGTCTGTAGCAGCTCCAGTAAACCAAAGTATTGTTTAACAATACTCGTATTTGCTGAGAACTAGCTTTTTGATTTGTTGGTTGTGAAGAAATTCAACATTGAATTCTGCTTTTTAAAGGAGTAACAATATAATATATTCTCATTGCCAAGAGGGAAAGATGCAGATAATGCTGATAATATTAATTGGACTGAAGGAAAACAAGATGCAGATAAAGAAATCCAGCAGAAACAGACAAAGGGGTGGAGTCTGTGGACAGTGAGATTAGAGCATGTAGGAAGAAAAGACGGAGACAGCCAGGCTTTATCTGAGCCCTGAGGCGATGGTGCTCATAGAGGCCTCTGGAAAGAGTAAGGTCCAGAGGTCAGGGTTCCAGGCGGGGGGGTTTGGGACTTGACAAAACAGAAATGGGGATTGGGAGATGACCCGTGATCAGAGTATGATTTACAATGTATGCCTGAAGGTGAAATCTATAGCATTTCTTGTGTGTGGGGGTGTATGTGTTTGTGGATGTGTGTGTTTGTGCATGTGCTCCCCATCATGATGGATGATTGAATGACATTATATCTGGAGAGAAGAGCTCTTATTGGACTTGAAGGCTTTTAGTGTGGCTAGTTTTCAAAAATAGGCCAGGCTTTTGTTGTGAGTTTATTATGAGGTCATTTATACTTATCGTGTGTGTGTGTGTGAGAGGGAGAGCATGCAGTGAGGTGTAAGTGGGATTAATAATGGAGTGAAGGAGCGGAATCAGAAGAGGGTGTCATTCAGTGGAGAGGGGTTCATGTGAAATTGTACAAATGTGGCTTTCATGCTCTTTGTCTGTGAGTCTATCCTTGTGTGTGTGTGTGTGTTGGTGTGTGTNGAGTCAATAGCTGCGTTCACACCACAGTACTTTTCCCACTTTAGTTCCGATATAGTTCCGAAATGTCGCGTTCACACCAAAAAGAGCCGGAACTAAAATCATTTTAGTTCCGGCTCTTTTTGGTGTGAACGCGACATTTCGGAACTATATCGGAACTAAAGTGGGAAAAGTACTGTGGTGTGAACGCAGCTATTGACTCTTCACTCCTTAAATGCATTTCTTCGTGCCGTGAGTTACGGTTTGATGAGCACTTCTCTTGTGGTGGGTGCGAAAATAAAGACCCATGATGTGAAAAACACTCACTCTTGTGGTGTGAAAACCCTTCTGCTAACAGAGCACTTTAGGTGTCTCTCAGGGCTGAATAAGTATATATGAGGAGGAAGGTCACTGTGATCAAAGGTCAGAGGTCAAAGAGCTCTGTATTTGAGACATTTGCTAAATTAAAAAACACAGAGATGGATGAGGAGACACTGGAGAGAAGAGGGGTAATGGGTGATAAAAGCATTAGCATATTAACTAGGCCGGGTTTCTGTTTACACACACTTTAAAAAAGAGTCAGTCTCCTCTCTGGCCGCCAGCCAACGCTGCACTCACTCTGATGAGAACCTCTGGAGGAGCTTTGAGGGATGGTAGGTGGAGCTTTTTCTTTTATTGAGCATGAGAGGGCAGTGACTGGCACAGGACCCGCGGCCTGCAGCAGTAAGTTGTCATGTGCTGGGCTATTAGGTGGGCTAATGACGCTAATTCCTGTTATCTACAGAGAGCCGTGTGATTCAGTCATGCAGAGCTTAGAAATCCACTCCTTGGAGGCTCATTTGTGACCGTGCTCACTAAGCATATTGGAAAGAGCTGATGTGTTTTATTTATCTGGATTTCTGCTGCTCTGATGGTGATGGCCGTCTGTTTCTTACGTCAATAGAAAGTCCCAGAGGAGTGTTGTGGTTCGAGAGGGAAGGCTAAGATTGTTTTAACGAGACATTATCAAACCAGCTGGGAAGGGGCACCTTCCTGCACGAGCATTGACTTCAGAAGATGCAGATGTATTTTTGTGTTGATACTCACCCCTTGTTTCCTCAGCTCTTCTTTCAAAGGTGCCAAGCTACATTTCTTCCCCAACATGCAGCTGTACCACCTGCAGAAAGAAGAATCCACATTAACCAGCCGTGTGACGCTGAGAGGCATGAACTACAAAGCAGAGATCAAACGAGCCGGAAGAGCAACACAAACGCAAAAGTAAAACATGAGACGGGAAAAATATTCGTATGTTTGTGTACGGGCCACAGAGGAGAAAAAGCTCATTTGAAGTCGTCCCTCGGTGGAAGCCTGATCAATAATCTCTGCTGTGCAATAAAGAGGATGGGTTGGTCTGATCAATAAGAGTCCAGCCGGGGAGATGGAAGAGAGATAAGCACATCAGGAAGTCAGATTGAAAGGAAACACAAACCATGTCAGGGTTTGTTGAGTTTTATTAGGTATTATTTAAACCTCATTATCTCTTTTATTTAATCGCCACAGCTTAGAAACAAAAACAGAAAATTCACAATAGTTGTGATAATGTAAAGTAAAAAGATATCCATATAAACTCAGGGGTGTTAATCATTGTTTTGTTCACTTTAAATCGATCTATTCACTCAAATCATCAACAAAATGTGGACGATAGAAGCCCTGAGTTTACCATTTTTCATCAAATTCATCCGAGTCACTTACAAACGGGCGACCACAGCAAAAAGTTTTTCTGAGCAGCAACAAGTTCTTTTATTGCACGTGTTTTCACCTTTCAGGGAGAACAAGCCTCTTCTCTCAATTAATGTACTACAGCCTTCTCTGCATCATTTTGAGGTAAACACATTTTCTTTTCAATAATAAGTTGATAATAAAAATAATCGATAAACTAATTACCAACCATTTTTATAAATCATCTTTCAAGCCAAGTCTCAGTCACTGACTTGTGTTCAAAACCAAGCCCTTGTAAACAGCCATACTCCTTAACAGTCCTATATGTATTCCTTAATTCACAAAGCTACAGTTTCAATAAACGACTGCAGATGAAAAAACAGTTTTGACTCGATGGAGAGAAAGGGCGATGATTTGTATTCAGTTTAGGGGGGGTTGAATATGCCCCAGAGGGGGTAAAGGGGAGGAGAGCAACATGTCATTCTGGGTTGACACAATGAAATATTGAACAGCTCTAATATTCACAGATGTTCCCCAATTTTCGACACAGTAGGGGGGGGGGGACACCTAGAGCACCCCCGGCTCCCCTCCTCCAGAGTGTGTGCAGCTGCGTCGGCATCCATGTTCTCTATTCACATGTTGAAGCATGTATGATTACACTCTTATGAGCACAGATGGTAATTTTCATATCAATGGCATGATAAATGAGGAGTATTACCTCATTTCTAACCGGGGTTTTTGGAAGTGTGTCTCGGTCTGGGAATTAAGGTGGCTTGGCCCTAACTGACAGTAATTACACTTCAGTGGAAATAAGAGGGAGGGAGGGGCAGGGAGGGGTGACACTGAGAGGGTCTCAGAGGACCAATCGCTAGAGCTGGTAGTGTTTCCATGGACACAGGGTGGCTCTGGTGTCCCAGCATGTATTTGGGAGTGACAGACGGCTCCGGTTGGTTCAACCCGAGCCTCGAAGATGTTAAATATGACAGGTTCCACTTCCTGTCTACACTACATGACTAACGCAGATCCACAGAGCAACAGGCAACCATTAAGAGCGCTCCCTCTCATGGTTCCAGTGACACACACACACACTTGCAATGCTCCCCTGTACGAGGCATAGCAGGTGAGGCATGTCTAATCAGTTTTAATAGCCCCACTCTGCAGCTCCCTGTATCCGTGTCTCACTCTGCTGCCCCGGTGACAGCCCTCTATACTGGGGGGGGGGGTAGAGTGACGGGCGCTGGAGACTCTCCCACCCAAACACAGCTGTTCCCTGTGGGCTCCCGGATACAGTACAGGGGCTGCTTGTGCCAGGATCATTAAAACAAGTGTGGGTGACAGCTCCATTAATGTGCAGCGACCCATCTGCAAATTTCACCTCTTAGAGTCTCCCCTTCACTGGGGCTCTCAGCGGCCATTTAAACCTCTCAAAGCTCTTCAAAGAGAACCGAACTGCAGCACTCTTGTTCATCCATCTGCCACTTCAGATATGTGTAACCCTGAATTGTTGCAGTCCCTGTGCGTGATTCAGATCAATGAATCTGGTTTACATTTGCTTTTTACACACACAACAAAAACACCTGCATCTCCTGTTTGTCTCAGGTCTGATTCTGCAGGTCACAGTCAGACTCTTTGTCTCACCGCAAGCGTTTCTTTAGCTGCAGGCTGTCATGAATGATCCTCTTGACAAACTCCAGTTCCCCGCCCTCCGCCATGATCTCCGTCACCCCGCCTGTGTTCACTGAACTGGGAGGAGGTCGCCGTGAGTTCCTGGAGTTTACCCCCTGGAGAGAGCAGCAAGACAGACAGAGATTAACATAGAAGCCTATTAGAGACTGTTACTATCATGTCAACAAACACAGAACAGTGTTTACTATCATGAGCAGCTTTTCCAATTTCGTGCCACTGTGAGATGAAGACATATTTGAGTCAGTAGCTGTTAATGTCCCTGGGTTTTGGGCTGCAAGAACTGTTTAAGCCAGAATGTAGGTAGGGAGAAACTCACCTTTGCTTCAAGCTGATTGGCAAAAAAAGGAGGGTTGCACATGCAGAAGTCGTACACTATTTCTGTCTCTTCTTTCAAGGCGTCCATCAGTAAAGTCTTCTGAGGGACTTTGACCACTAGGAAAGGGTAAACACAGATGAGGTAAGTTAGGTTAGCTACATGTAATGTTTTAGCTAATCGTGATAGCAGTTTGGAGAAACAAGTCTAAACAACGTACAAATTCAGGCTGTTCCACACAAAATTAAATTGATAGAAATTAGGTTATCAGTCTAAAACGGTGGCCTTTTATCATACTAAGAGACAGTGTGCAGTTAAAAACAACAGCTGCAAAACATTCCTTGGTTTGTTATAACCATTAGTGTTTGGTGGCTAATGTTAGAAAACTTAAAATAGATATTGCAGACACGCCTCTTTTTTTGTGCTTATTATTATGCTACTCTACATTTTCGCATTCAACATGATCCCATGTAGTGTTATTTGAGCCAAATTGGGGAAAGTTTAGCCAAAGTTAAATACACTCTATAAGAATAATTATCTAAGAAAATATAAAAAAACTACACTGAAAGACTTTGGTTTAAAATGTGCTACTTTAATGTCTCGAGTCGAGATAGACAGTTTTTCAGGATGAGTGAACCACATTTACCTTTAATGAGGTCAGACAGGCTGTTCTGCTCCACGTTTTTCATAGCGTAGTCAAAGCAGATGTCGTCCACCTCCGTGGCCAGAAAGTACCAGCCGTTCATGGTGGCTCCCAGTAAGGGGTAGATACAGGACGCACCAGTGCCTGAGGAACACACACGTATGTTTGGAAGCTTTAGGATGTGTGACTTCATCAAGATGATAAATGGTTATGAGTTTAATTGAACAATATGGAAATAAGTTGTTTAAAGTAAAAAGGGAATATAATGGACAATAAAAGTCAGCTCCAGAAGCTGTTATTAAATCATCCAAAGACGACAGCAGCTGCATGAGGCAGCGCAGGCTCAGATAAAAGTGGCACCAGTTAGTAAAGGAAACGCCCAGTGGTGATCCATCAGAGAGTAGACAGCTTCAATCTGCTTACAGAAAGATTCAGGGTCACCAATCAGTGCCCTGAGGTCCTTAAGAGCACACAAACACACACACGCAATGACAGACAGTTTTTTCTCTGACAGACAGAACGGCAAACACGCTGTGACATGTGGATTGGGATTTTAGCTGCTAAGTGCTGGGATCACTGGAAACAGTGGGCTCATGTGAACCAGCTGGAAGCACCGACTGACATTTTGTGTGCCGCTCTGAGCTGCTGTCAGCCGAATCCAGAATAAACAAGAGCAGGGGTCTCATAGCTAATTATCCTGAAGTCTCAACGTGTTTTTTGCATTTTTTCCACACGACACGACGGCTGAGCTACTAGACTTCTCCTTTCCTTTACTTGAGTACCTCTTTTGTCTTGTGCCGTTAGCTTGATGCATGTTAAATGTATAATAAAAAGCATTCTCCTATGTTCCAGTTCTGCACCCTTGCTAGTAGGGTTTGGCAATTGGACAAATATATTGTCCGTTTAAGTAGACTTTAAAAGATGTGAAGAAAATGACACAAAGAGTAGTGCTGGTACCGATGTCGATGCCTCTGCGCGGCTGCTTCTGGCCGTCGATGAGGTCCTCCACCCAGTGGATGTAGTTGAGGCGGAGGGGCACGGTGGGGATGAGGCGCTCCAGAGGAATCTCGATGGACAAACCAAAGTCCTCCTTCAGCAGGGTGCAGGTCAGCGCTCTCACCGCCTCCGGCTCTTTGAAGTTCACACTGAAGAAAAAACATGGCCGAGCATTTAAATCCCACTGTAACAGGAAACATTAGATTTATTAACCAACTGGGTATTTTTTTTTTGTTTCGGCCCTTCATTTATTTGTTATGATAGCGTTGTAGTCCCTCAAATTATCTAAACTACTTGCCTACTACTAGTCTGTTTTGTTATCATTTCTAGTCCAGCTACTTGGAAATGTAATTTTTCAATATTTACATATTGGAAGTTGGAACTATTTTCAACTGGGTGTCTGCAGCAACATTACCAAAATGATTACTTCAATTATTGCAGATGCAACTGAACATTTTCTACAGCATAAAGACTTATATCTGGCAAAACACAAGTTGACTTTGAAGCAGTCAGAAGAAATGCAATGTGTGCAGTGTGCGAAAAAGTACACGTCCCGCCGTCCGGGACGTGTTATTTACAATATCGGACAAGTAGATCTTTCAATTGACTTGTCCGGCGGACAAGTGACGTTTTTCGCCCTGATTTATTGATCAATTATTGATAAATTCAGTTTACAAAAGGCAGAACTCATTCAAAGTATAGGAGGTGGCTTAGAAGAGGACGGTGAGAGTATACCTCGACATTGACGAATTATGGCAAGTATATAAAAAACAACTATTCTTCTTGTATACATATGCATAACTGTTTACCAACAATTTGCCCGTGCGCCGTAGACACGAGCATGCTTCTCTATCTCTCTCTCTCTCTGCGACTCGACGTTGCACGTCGCATTAGTCAAGATAGCCTCGTAGTCTCGTCTCTGCTCTCTCGACGCAGACGCTCCCGAGGGTCAAGCGAGACAAGACGAGGAGGGAGAAAGCTAAAGCCTCAAGATTAGAATATATTCAAGGCTTTACAGAAGGCCTGTTAACAATACAACAAGGATGAACCGGATCAAAACGAAGGGTGGACGTGCCACGATTGAAGGGCGGGGGCGGGCGGGTTCGGACATGCCTTCGCCGCTCTACGTAAAGAGGATCTCTAGCTGTTCCGTCTGGCTCTTGATTGTAAGATATGGTTCTGTACCGCCTGTGC